TTCCATCCAACTTATATGTAACTAAGCCATCCAATTGTATGTGGTATGAGACCACTTTGCCATTCGGCACTTTTGGCACATTCCAACGCACCGCGACCGAGTGACGTGTATTATTTCTGTGTACGCAAGTAATATAGAGGTCTGTGGGTTCACTGGCAACACCATCCATTGTCGTCCCATTTACCACTTCCGACCAGGGACCGCACTGTTTAGTGATGTTACTACAGGCGCGTACTTTAAATTCATATTCAGTCGCCGTTTTCAGATTATCAAACATATATGGCAGATTTCGAGAATTTTGTGTATAAACGGTATTTTCAACAATGCGTGGCGTTTCACCAGCTTCGGAAACAACCAACTCATAATATTGTATGTATGGCAGCATTTCAGGTGGTGGTGGATCCCAACCGATGGTAATAGTCGACGGTGTACTACCGGTTGTGCCAACTTTTGGTATAAAAATGGGATCTCTTTCCAATGTGCGCACGGGTAATGGATATTGATATGGTGGACCGCTGCCAATGCTATTCTTGGCACTGATGCGTAGATTATAGCTCGTATTTGCTTGAAATTTTTCCAAAACATATGAAGTATTCCGTCCACCAATTTGATGATTATAATATTTAAGTTCAGATGAACCTTCCTCTTTATATTGTATGAAGTAGTTTTGCACCGGATCATTACCATCATTTACAGTCCAATTTAAGTATATCTTATCTGCGCCCACAACCATCACATAGTCTATGCTCACTTGCGGTTTCTCCATAACCAACACTGCCATATCTTTTTTCGTAATAATTGCACCAAATATATCGTATACTGCACAGCTGTATGTGCCATTTTCCTTCTTGTAAACTTCAGTTAAACTAAGCGTGTGATTAATATGTGTGGCATTCACCAAACTGAGATTCGAGGCTTTGTCTAAAAAGTCAACAGCAGAATTTTCATCCTTCAGCCATTTCAATTGCTTGTAAAATGTATCGTTGTGTGGAAACACTTCTATCAGGCAATATAGTTCCACAGCATGACCGCTTTTCTGTTTCACCTTTTCTTCACTGCTTGCAACGATCAGAGGTGTTTGCAGCACTTGCACGGTAAAACTAAATACGCTCTCATTTCGTACTGGTTCGCAAGTATATATGCCCGCATCAGCAAATTGTGCATCAGTTACAAATAATGTACTTTCGTAATTCCTTTTCGTTTCTTCTTCGATTTCATTGATGCTTTCAATGGCAGACGGTTTGGTATATGACGTGGTTATTCTAGAAGAGAAATATACACAATGAATGAGGTTCTATAAAAAAATATATATAAGAACTCATAAAGCAAGCGAAAATATATGATCTTTGAATGAGCTGTAATAAGTAATGAACTAATGAACGTTCGGCCACTTCGCTTAATTATTATTAAAAAGATGTATGCTCTTATGTATGTATATGAAAGTTAATTAATATATATGTATATTGAGACTCAAAAGTTTCTTATTTTAAGCTGGGTAATTTTTTAAAGATATATAATCGATTATTTATAAGTTATAAATTGATTAAACTATAAAATGAAAGCTTTGTGAAATACTTTTAACATAGAGCTCGATGGAGTAACAGGCTTGATGGCGTAGATCTACCACTTTCGGGTGCAAACCGCGAAAACGTGAGACGAAAATACATATATTATATAATATATATATTTATTCAACAAAAGTATTAAAATCACAAACTCGTTTTTGTTAGTTTTGGTACGGTATACAAATGAGGTTTGTGGTTTAAATTTCCAAAACTTTTATAAAAAAATATTTGAACATAAAAATCTTTTACTACACATATAAAAAAAAGCATAAATAGTGTCGAATCAATCTCATTTTACCTTTTATTATTATTCGTAATAACTTCTTCGTTGTGCTTCCATGTTACATTGTTTACAAACTGTTGAGTTATGTTGCAGATTATTGTAAAATTGTGGCCAACCTCAACGGCTATCAGTTCTGAAAACAAATTTATAATTTAAATAAACATTTTTAAATTTAAAAGAGTACTCGTAAATCAATATATTATTTGTATGTATGCAGAAATGAATAGATATGTATAAATATCCTACAAGTTTACCAATATTTTGGTAAATCGATCGGGTGAGAATTGATGATCTAATCTAAGGATGTTCGTTCCGAAAGTGCAGTATTAGCAGCTAATTTTGTTAAAATAGCTTATGTTGGGTTAAAATATCGACACAATTTGCAGCTATGTTAATTACAGGTGTTTGCATTTACAAGCTTTGTCATTTTATAACAAGTTTTACTTCATAGAAATTATTTGAGTCAATTTGGTCATTTTGAAGCGATGATTCGAGCCCACAATTTTCGGAACTATTGTATTTATAGGTGTTTTCATAAAGTAAATCATCATAGTTTCTTCAAACAAGCGTGACAACTATCACTTTTTATTTTAATAAGTTTTGTCTTTCAGAAGAAAGATTTGTGTACATATAAATGCGTTGTCGGTTATGTGTGTATGTAGTTATTTTCCGGCTGTTCCCGTTTCTCACACCCCTCGAAATGACCAACTGATTGGGCGTCGTCAGTGTACACTCATACCAGTATTTGCTCTTACTTTCGTCTGTCTTATCTATGCTGTTGCTAAAGAAATTGGAACTTCTTTGCACAATATATGAATGTTAAAAATGTTATTTTTGTTGAATTACTAATGTAAATATTTTGTTTATACTTTACTCATATACACAACAAACAAAAATATAGCCGCACATAGCACACACATACACAAACTTGTGTATACTACACCCCGTTACTGCGTTTCGGAGAATTTATGTGCACTTCATTTATTTTACATTTATAACTTATGCTAAAGCTTCCATACCTTGAGATTGTACTCCTTTTAAGTGTTCATTTATAAATAAAACCATGCAAATGAGTACTTTTAAAGTCGAAAACAAAAAGACCCGCTTCCGGCATAAACTATATGGAGAATTTTTCGATTTTATGTGATTCATTTTTCGTATCTATTTTCCGTGGGCAGTAGTTACACTTAATTGATAAAAACTTAATTCTATTTTAGTATGAAAAGCACTATATAAAAATATTTTAAGCGCAACATCACAACTGTAAAATATTCGATATATGCCGGATCCACAAACAAAATTTTACTTCCTAATACACAAGGCAGGGTTTTATGCTCGTATTCACGAAAATATCAATTTGTTGCTTACAGAGCGTTCGGCATTAAGACCGGTTGGGGTATGAAACACAGAGAACCACATAACAACGAATTACCTAGTGGCGAAGTAAGAGATTAATAGCAAGAACTTACGATTTTTAATACCACGTTTACACCAACGTTAGTGTTGCAACGCAGCTCGTTTTGGTATAGAAAACTTTTTTAACATTCACTCTATTAAAATCAACTGCACGTCAAAATTTCGAAAGATTTGATGACAAAATCTTCTGTGATAAAATAAATAGAGTTGCTTGTAATGAGACAACGCGGACAATGTTTAAAATTACAACCCAACAAATCGCGACTATCCGAAACTCTACTGCTTTGAAAGAATTTAAGCATCGAAGCCATGGTATAAGGTTTACGATGATGGAAGCTCAAACATACACTTGCTACTACTCATAGCCCTATGGATAAGAAAGGAACCATCGATGCATACGTATACAAAGTTTCGGTTAGTTTTTTTTTTAATTTCGGCATCAAAAAACTAATAGGTGTTGTTGTAGCGGCAGAGACTCTGCCGAATTGATAGTCCTTGGCCAGATAAAAATCCGGGTCCGCATTTATATATCTTCTCTCTTTCGCTACTTGTCAATATATAACTTTTTTACCTTGGTGAGCTTTTAGAGCTAAAGACTCTGCATTCATCCTCAGGGAATTTCTTCAATTTACTCTTTATTATATTCGTTCTCTCTTTGCTCATCACTAGTTCCTTGCATTCCACATTATTATTCTGGGAACGATTGCTTAGGCTAATATTATCATTGTAATAATAAAAATTAGCCATATAAACCCACAAAAGCACTCATTATATGCAGACGCCAGGCCGGTAAATCCTAGGGTTGTAAGCCAAGCATCATCAAGTGGTTGCATATTATGATAGTCAGACCGATTGCTACATATGGAACTGTTGCATGGGCACCGAAAGCATCGTAAACTTTGATTGGACTTCAACTATCGAAGCTGCTAAGACTTGTCTGCGTCTGCACATCGGGATGATGTGTACATGCCTAACCGCAGCTCTCGAACTCATGCTGGAGCTCACATCGCACCATATAGTAATCAGTCACCAGCATACTAGAGCAAAGGGGTATGAAAAAAAAAAGTTAATATCGTATCAAAAAATGAAGGCCTTAGGTGAAGAGACTGGAACTGAACACACTGGCCCTCCTTCCAAGGTACGGCATTACTAAAAGGGTAAACAACACAAAGAACTTTAATGTTACCCCCGGCGGTAAGGCCGACTGGAATAATTCTCCGCTTAACCTACTACTAAGTGATAGCATTCATCAGTAGTACACTGACGTATCGAAAACGTCGGAAGGCACTGATGTAGGCCGCGCACTAAACTTACACATGGGGTGTTTTCCGAGAATATTCCAAGCATATGTCTTTGCTATAAGCCGATTTGTTGAAACAAATTTCCAACGTAACTGTCGCAATCAACATTTTGCTATACTTAGCAATAGACAAGTGGCAATAAAAGCGACGTCCTTTGAGATCAAATCTCTATTAGTGCCGGAGTGTATAGAACGGCTAAATAGGCTATCGGCTTGGAACCGTGTGCACGTCATTTGGATGCCGGTGCAAAAAGGGTTAGCTGACAATATATTTACTGATGAACCGGAACCCTGTATTGCGGTGGATTCACATATTATAAAGGAGCTGCTCCGCAAGGACATCTCAGGAGCCGGAATCCTCTGAACATCTAATTCTAGAGAGCACAGCAATCTGTAGCCGCAGATTAAAGGCCTCTGAATCAATATTGTTGGTGGGTCTTTGTGGGCACAATAGATCCTGTTAACCAATGTTGTTGTTGTTGAAATTCAAGATCCGTCACGTAGACTCGAATGCGAGCCGAACTTCGTCATTCTTTAGTCGAGCCTTTACCTTTAATACTTTTACACAGTGGATAAATTCCTTTAACAATATCCAATGGAAGCGGAGTTAATACCATGCCCGCTGGGAACGATCAAAAGAGAGCTTTAAATGCATTTTGTACAAATAGCTCAAAGCAGATGGAAATCAATAATAAGCTGTAAGATAACAAAGCAGACTTGGCACAAGTATGACAAGAGTACTTATTAAATAGGTCAAGAAATAGTATATGCAGACTTACAGCAACTATAACGAGGCACTGGCCGTTTGCATGTGCTAAAAATAGGCCTGCTGTAGCAATCACTATCTCTATCAATCTCTATCTCTATCAATATCCAGCTCTATCACAAGCAGGACACAAAATATTTCAAGCCCATCAGGTACCAAACCTTGAATAGTTGTCCACAAAAGTAATAACGGACATAAGTAGTTTCATTGACAGCACCAAATAGTTTGAGCGAAACGATGGAACAGAATAGCAAGACTATAATCATCTATGATAGTGCTGCAAAATGGCGCATTCAGCGCTAATTGAGCCCATTGTAGGCAGCACTCCTACCTACCTACCTATCAATGGGGATTCAGGCTCATCATGTCCATCAGAGTGTTTGACTAATATCTGTATTGAGGCATATGAGAAAAGTATTTACTGTGATAGTAGATTTGAACTCAACACCTTGGTTATGAGGTCAATCCTAATGCGCGGTAAAACAAGACCCCCTCGCGGCTACGACACATTACAATTGTACATACATTTGTACGTACGCAGCTCTAAACACAACTTGATTAACAATTCTTGCGCTAATATAACGTTTAACGTTAATTTAATCCAATAATCTAATTCAGAAGTGTGCAGCTCTTCATTGTAAGCGCTATATTTTCGACAAGTGGAATGTCGGTTTTACATTTTTTTCTTTTTTTATACCTACAAGGATGTGTTTTGAGTTTAAGGTGAGCAAAGGAGACAATACGAGTATAAGCCTGATTTAATAAAAAAAATGTCAACAGCTCTGAGCAGGAAGTACACGCTTTGATTTTGGCTCGAGGTGGTTCCGAAGGTATACCAAATAAAAATCTAAAAGAAGTGGGTAGAATCTCATTACTAGCACGTACAATAACTGTATTGAATAGCTCAGATTTATTTGAACATATTTGGGTATCGACGGATAGTGATTCAATAGCGGAGGAAGCTACTAAATGTGAGTCAAGAACGATTAAAACGAAAATAATTTATAATAACTCGCACATCACTTATTAAGTAGTTATATCCTTTTTTATTAATTTACTTTTATGTAATAGTTGGTGCACTGGTGCACAAGAGAGACCCAATCTATGCACTGGATAATACTTCATCCTTGGAATCCGTTAAGGAATTTTTACAAAAACACGATAACGTCAACAGATTCGCATTATTCCAATGTACTTCCATATTTTTGAAAAATCAATATATAAACGATGCCTTAAACCGATTTATGACGAAGGATTGCGTGTTCGCCGTTACCAGGTACTTTTATGCACATACATAAATTTGCTTTCCGTACTAAGTTCATTGTATAATTCACATTATAGATCACATAAATTGCGTTGGCAAATCCGAGAAGACGAAGTTGTAGTGCCTTTAAATTTTAATCCAGCTCACAGACCTAGACGTCAAGATTGGCCAGGTGAATTGATAGAAACAGGGATGTTTTACTTTTCCACAAGGCACTTGGTAGAGGAAGAACAGAGGTTTCAAAATGACAAGTGAGTAAAACAGTAATAAGAATAAAAGCTCCAGTTTTAGACATTTTATTTTTATTTTTGGATTTATTTACTGAAAGCAGCCTAATTAAAAATGCACATAATATTTTTTCTGTATCAAGGTCTTTACTAATTTACTTTTGCACTTGTCCTCAATGCTCAAGAAGGATATTCAATTCTTTTTATTTTTGTGTGTGCCTAATGCCGTTTACTCCTTCATCTTGATTTCTCTGACATTTTATGATTGTTGTAACATCGAGTCGAAACAAAATGTGGGTTCAAGTCGTTCTCCACTAAACATTTTTAACGGTAAGGGGTTGTATCTCTTCCTCAGCCACCATCAATCGGCATTGAATACTTTTAAAGTAGTATTCATTCGTAGTGTCTTGTGAATGTCATTGCTCTACTGATTTTAGAACATCTTGAAAAATATGAAATTAAGCTAAAAAAGGTTGAACTATTCGAGCAAAGTAACACGGCGGCTTAAATAAGTCGTAAGTTAGTGTAACATTTTAATCGTTCAAAGTCAAACATTTTAATGTTCTAGAAGAGGGTGATAAAATGACATCCCTTCTTATGTGAAGAGGTATTACACGAGTCTTAAACGGCCATTAACATTGGCATGAAAATCTGTCATTGATTTCGGAGATATTTGAGAGCTCAATTTTGTTGGTAATTTGGACCACGGTTTCCCTAACTGCTACTAGCTCGGCTTTATATTAACCATCTGGTGAAAGCTTTTTAAACATTTCACGGCATTAAACATCACCCAGACCTTATTATCAAGTTTGGAACGTGATCCTTTCCGCATAAACTTATTATTCGGCCAAATTTTGACTCAAGCGTAGACATTTTTTTTACCAAAGAACAGCAACATTTTTCAAAGTAGCTAGCGAATAAGGTTAAATATTCCCTGAAGAAAACTCAGCTTAGAGTTAAGAAGTCAGTCCGTCTGTATATAGGGGAACTAGTCCATCAGTTTTTAAGCTATCGATCTAAAATTTTGCAATTGTCCTTTTCTCATTAAGAAGCTGCTCATTTGTCGGAACGGTCGATATCGGACCACTATAGGATATAGCTGCCATACAAACTGAACAATCGAAATCAAGTACTTGTATGGGAAACTTTTTCATTTGACGAAGTATCTTCACGAAATTTGGCATGGATTATTATTTAAGGCAATAATGCAACCTCCGAAGAAATTGTATAGATCGGATGACTATAGCATATAGCTGCTATATTATATGATCGATCGGAGTAAAGTGCTTGCATGGAAAACTTTTTCATTTGACGTGATATCTTCACGAAATTAGTCACGAGTTTTGTTTAAGGCAACAATGTATTCTCCGCAGAAATTGTTCAGATCAGATCACTATATAGCTGCCTTACAAATTGAACGACCGGAATCAAGTTCTGTGAAGGGTATTATAGCTTTGGTGCAACCGAAGTTAACGTTTTTTCTTGTTATATGTACAATTTTCATAAATACAAGAATGGTTATTGTCCCTTTTTATTTGTGCTAGCCCTGGCTGGGTTCGTTTCGTGTAATGTCAAATGTATTCTTGTTTATATATCCCATGCATTTTTAACTTTATTAAAAATATATGGTATACTTTTTTAATAACTAACAAATATTACCCTGACTCATTCACAGGTGTGGTGTAGTGGAAATCGATGCTGCTGACGCAATGGAGATCGACACATACACTGATCTTTTAGTCGCAGAATGTTTTATTCAAAACAAAACGAGTTGCAAAAATTCCTTCACTAATACAAATCTGTTTTGAGCATGTTACGAAAAAATATGCATTAAATAAATAAAAAGACAAATCAGCACATTTGAGTACTATAAAATATTTAAACATATTTTTTTATTATTATTATTTTTATTTATAAGCTTAAAGTAATAGTGTATAATAAATAATTTCATTTTCATATATCGTCATATAAATGTATGTACGTATTGTATGTATTTATGTATGTATGTATTTTTGTATGTTTGTCATGTAACTATTGTTATCGGTATTTACATATTGTATGCAACATATATGGGGTCAAGTTGATCAGCCAAAAAGCCATCACGTAAATGCATTCGTTGTTTTTCGCCGCGACTATTGATGGGCACAACACCTGTGAAATGAAGAAAGATTATGTATTATTTCCGTTGATTTACTTTAGTAGAGCATATAAGAAATAATTGAAAGTAAACAATGAAACAAAAAAAAACCTGCCTACGTGCAATGAGTCTCCGCATGTCACTAACCACCTCTTTGCAAGCCCAACGAACCCCACTCATCTAACACCCTTTTCCTTATGGTCCGACCCCGTCGAAACAGCTCGTTTCCTGGGCCTCCCGTTATGACCTTGACCGCAACCAAACTTGAACTTATCACCCAAACGGGGACTAGGTAACCATTACAAAAAAAAACAACAACAAAAAAAACGCTAACTTTGGCTACACCGAAGCTATAATACTTTTCATATTAAACTAAAGTATATCCAATATTATACGTTCGGTTAATTTTACATATTGAGCGATATATACGGTATAAGGCCAACCGGAAGTTTAAAAATCTTTCATTAGGTATATGGAAGATAGGTGTAATATTGACCCAATTTTATCTATTTTTGGCAATACTACATATAATTAACGGATAAATAGTGAGTTTCATGAAGGTATCCCACATACTATCACCACTCAAAAGGAGTAAAGTCAACCCGATGTTTGAAAATTCTGACATTAGTTATATGGAGGCTAAGGCAGGTTTTCACCTGATTTTGTCCATTTTAGGCACACAGATATACTGTTAGGAGAAAAACACGCTCACTTACTTTTATTAAGATACCTTACATATTGGCCGATATATGGGATATAAAGTCAGTCAGAAGTTCGAAAATTTTTCTATATTCTATATTATATATGGGGATAAGGGAATTATTGATCTGATTCAATCCAATTTCGGTGCACCGGCATACTATTATCAGAAAAGGATTCTCTCCGAATTTCTATAATATGGTATATCTCACAGATTTAGCGATATTTTGGATAAAATTTTCGCAATAGAGGGTGGGGTCCACATATTCGATACCTAGGAGCTTGGATAGTTGGTCAAGTAGGCCCAATTCCACACCGTCGGTAAGAGTGCTGTTTACCTTGTATGAATTTGGTTATTATAGCTTTAATGGTTTAGGAGATATGTACATTAAAGATGCCCCTCCCCAATGCGATTCCCCAGCTTTGTATCTTATTGTGGAGTTATGGCTATTTATTGGGTTTCGATTAATCGCGCTTTGTGCGCGTGGCAATAGTCCAATTACGCCCATCTATAATACCCACTTTCTTAAGGTGCCAAGAAACATGTGTAACAAATTTCATCAAGTTACAGCTTGCATAGACGGACGGGCAGACAGGCACTCGAATTTCTCGCTGTTGTAGTGAATTACTCGTCTTTTTATCTTGATAATTTATATATATATTATATATAAACAACCGTTAGGTGAACAAAACTACTCTGTACTCTGAACAAAACTACTCTGTACTCTGTAGCAAAAAAGAGTATAATAATTACCTGGATCGACTACTACGACAACGCCAACAATCAATTGGTGTTCTTCTAAGACTGTATTAGTTACTAACGGTACCAAGTCCAATGCTTCAGATTCATTGCCATCTAGCTCAACAACAACAACCAATAAATTGGTCCAGGTGAAGACAGCACTGTAAACAAATAATTTTTTTTTTGTTTGTTAATGACATATACACATACAAATATAAAGCAATATATGCAAACATACCACTCAGCGATTTTTTTATGACACCTCAACACCGAATTTTCTATATCAATGGGATGATAGTTCATGCCACGCAATGTAATGACCTCATCCAAAGCGCCCACCACATAAACAGCATCGTGTAGCTCCTGATCATTGACATTAGTTATTGAACTGGGATCACCGCTGATGCTGGGCGCTTGCGGTCCCGTCGACATCGAAGAGAAGTTCAAGTGTAACTGACTCATCGAATTGAGCGATTCATTGTCGCTATCACGGCTAGCCACACTGGGCGTGGTTTCGTCTAAAATCGAAACGGCTTGCGAGCATTCGGTGCGTCGCAAGAAGCCCAAGTAGCCAGTACGTGCGTAGACTTCGGTTGTCGCGCCGGTCACTAGTTTCGCATTGAAATGATCGTTATAGTCGGTTTCATCGCCATAAATGGTGAAGTAACCATTAGCGTTGTGTGGTGATTGCACCTGGAAATTATTACAAAATATATATTTATATTGAAAATTAAAACACTTTTTTTTGTTTTAAATGCACTCACCCAAATCTCACCCAAGTGCGAGTCTCCACAGTGTCCCTTCGTCTCCGGATTGGCAATGATCACTTTCACGCCAGGCAACAGTTTGCCCGATTCGATGAGACACAATGAGTTCGGTGCACCGCGCTCCACCAGCGCCACACGGTTATTGCGCAACGCACGCAGATCTACATAGACCTGTGCGCTCTCCGCCGAGCTGGCGCCTTGTACACAAATTGCTGGATTGACCCGACAACCAAACGAGGTGGACACACAGCGCGTATTCAAGCCGAGCGCTTGGAAGAGTTTACAAAATTGTTGTGTCAATTGTACGCGCGGACGCTCCTCAGCCACCACCACGCATGTGCGCACACAACGCAAGTCGACGTTACGTTGCTTGAGCATCGGTATGGAATTGCTGAGCGCTTTTGTGCACAACTCGATGACGCCATACGAACAGAAGGTGTCACGCACACGATAATGCGATAGTGTGGATAGCCACAAACTGGGATTCGTTTCGACTTCGTAGGGTGCAATGAGTATCGAATGATGACCGCTATACACACCAATTAAGGTCCACATAGCGAAGCCCAGACCACAATATGGATCCAGGCAGAGAGCAACGTGACGTGAAGGATATAATTCGCAGGCTAATTTCAAACTTGCGCAAAGACTAGAAAGAGAACTAAAAGAAAGAGCAAATACCAGTAGTGTTGGTTCAAAATATATTTTTTCACAAAAAAAAAACATAACAATAATAAAAAAAAAAATAGTAATTAAAAATGAAATTAAATAAAAAAAACTATTTGCTACTGCTTACCGATGCGTGATGTTAACACCACTTAAGCGTCCACAAGTGGATACACTAAAGTCCAAGTATGCCGTCGAGTCTAACGGTGCATTCGCAATTGACATTAATTTCCGTTTTGGATTGTCATCAATGTCCAATATGGGTGGCCAGGTCTTCGGATCGATGGAGGCAGCTGCTTCGCGTGATTTCAGCAATTTTATTATCGGTTGTATAGACAGCACAATAACACTCTTCGAGACATCAACAATCATGCGTACAGTTGGTAGGGTCGTTATAAGATTTTGTGGATGTGGTGGTCGTATAGTGATTGGAATAGCAGCCAAATAGAGACACCCATAGAAGGCGCACAATAAATCCAAGCCGGGTGGAAATATTAAAGCTTATTTTAAGGAAAAAATAAAAATGAGGTTATGTAAATTATATCTCTGTAAATTTAACTATATAAATACATCAAAATAAATATACGGATATGTATTTCCATAATTCCTACAAATTCGAAACCACTCGAGGGTTCTTTTGAAGTTTAGACACAATAGTTCGATTTAATGGAGAAATTTTTAGGAATATTGGGAACCTCAATATATTAATGGGAAAAACTATTAAATATGTGTTTCCAATGGAAAGTATTAAAGAAACTTTTACTTTATAAGTGAGGTTGAAATTTTTCGAGAAATCTTCAATATTTTAAACCTGAATTGCCACTAAGTTTAAGTTAAGTCTATCCTGTATGGTCAATTGAATGATTATATAGTCTACGTAAAATTAGGAAAGAATTTTATTTTTGGTAAAAATCTTCATAAATTAAAATTATTAAAAATATTATGTTTATTTCAGGTTAAACATTAGAAAACTTAAAACGAATACAGAAGTAAATGTAGAATTACGTTACTGCAGGATGGCCAACGCAAAAGCATGCATTGTTTTATCCCTTTGTTTTTGGTGCTCAGTCCAATAAATAAATTTGTTTTTTGATATTTTAGAAACTAATAAAAAAACGAGCTTTAACCCCGCTGTTGTCATGTAACGAGTGAACCTTGAATTTAACAGAAATTTGGTTGACAATTCAACTTCAAAACTTACCAACATGATCACCAGGTTCAATACGTCCTCGTTCCTGCAAAAGAGCAGCTATTTTCTCAGATCGTTTATGCAATTCGGAGCATGTCAAAGTCTTCGCAATAGCACCTTTAAAAGAAATATATATTTTTACATCAATACAAAATGGATAACATGTATATACATATATATTATATGTATAGCTAAGCACTTTACATATATTATAATTATGATAATTTTTAAGAATATAATGCTCGTTATATGGAATTTAATGATATACCACATATAAAAAATAATATATTACATATTCTGTCCACAAAATATTATACCAAAAACAAATAATTTTTTGTAATTTTCTTTAGCAATTTGGTGTTATAATTATTAGACGAGTAGAAATTAAAAAAAAATAATTCAGTTTCACCACCATCTACAGATACATATGTATTTTTTACCCACTGTTCGATATGATAAAATTATTTGAACGAAACATGCCGCTTTACCGCAGCAGCGACGATATAACATATGTATTTATATATCATCATTTCCAACCAAAAAAATGTTTTGCCTTTTATTGTGGAGCTTAATTATGGCAATTTATTTCAGTGGTCCGATTACGCCCATCTGCAATACCAACCGTCTTACGGTACCCGGAAACATGTGTACAAAGTTTCATAAAGATATCTCAATTTTCACTCAAC